TAGTCTTCTACTTATCTACCACTTTCTGCGGAATCGTCCCTTCCTAACCATTACTACGAATTCATCTTTCCTTATTTCGTCAATTTTCTTACAAATGCTAACCCTGATGAGCATCTTCTTGCTGAAGAACTGATATTGGAACAACATTAACAAGCGGATGACAGAAAGTAATTTCTGTACATGCAACAAAGCGTGGTGCATTCATAATATAAGCAATTTCGATGCAATAGATATTCTGCAAAAGATAAATTTTTTTGACCAAAAATCTAACATTTAATGATTAGATGTAATCGAAAGCAAACTGAAAAAAAAAAAAAAAAAAAATTAAACTAAGCAAAGAAGAGATACGATATAAAAAATAAAATCGGATTCTCCATCAATAAATGCTTCCAAGTTTTCCTGGATCGATTAAGCAATTTATTCAACCAATCCGAATTCATGTCCGCTTTTAACGTATAAAATGCAAACCTTCCAGAAAATATACGATGGTACGGTGAATTAATGGAATTTGACATCTTATATGTCAGTATATATCAAATAATAATGGACACGGCTAACTAAATAGGTGACTGATATTTTTAAAATGCCATTAAAAATCTTTTTAAAAAAGGGAAAAAAAAAACGAACTGCAGCATAGTAATCAGTGAGGAATATAAATTTTGCTGATGGATGTACACTCAGTGCCAGTTTACCTAATTGATCTAATGGTTCAAATAATAAACGAGCAATACAGTGCCAGTTTTCTGTGTCATAAAGTTGGATACGTTTACCATTTTCCGTTGAAATTATAGCATATTTCCAGAACTGTTCACTGAAGTCAAATGAAAATTTAATAAAATTAGAAATCTATAGAGTTACGATTATGTTGCTGTGGTTACTACATGCACTCATAAACTGACTTACAGCATTGACTAGAATACTGTGGAACAAGTGTTGAAAAAAGTTTACAGTTAAGCATCAAAAATGCAATAAATCTAATAACCTTAGCAATACTTTTACCAGTCTAAAGTATCTAAGGAAAGTGAAATATAAGCCAAAAGAAAATGAAAATGTACGGTGTGTCCGATGCAGTAATGTTATCCAGGAAGACAAGATCCTGAATATGTCTACCATGTTCCGGCTGCCAGCGATGAGCAAACTTCGTGCCTTCACCATCGATAATAAAAAACGTTACAGTGCCACAATTAAGTGCTACTGCAATAGCTGTTGCATCTGGACTCAAACACACTGCTTGCACTTCCTAAATAGAGCGATTATGTGAAGTTGTGGAGAGCAGAACTGTTGTGATTAACCATAAAGAAAAATTCATTAATGTAAAAAAAAAGAAATGAATGAAGGATTTACAGCGCTAGGATTATCAATCGGCAATTTCATAACGGCATCACTGATTTTTTCGCATTGTTCCAAAGTCACTTCTTCACAGTGTAATTCTGCTTTGATTATACTTAATGAAAATGATTCCACCGTATTGCGCTGCAAAATATTTTCTGCAGAAGGATGATACAGATTTATTAAGTTAAAATTAAGATATCCAAATTATGAAAAAAGGAATGAATAGCGGATCAACTTCTGAATCATCTTTCCCTTTTCAGATTCATTTGCTCCTGTTATGATTTCCGGGTTACCAATATGACTCAAACCATACTAAAAAGTTTTGGTTAATCTTGGTTTTCGCACTATTGGCAAGATTAGAGAAAAATCATTAATCTATCATTTACTAATTAGTTTAAATTGCTAGCCAAAAGAACTGATGGAATCAAACTTACGTAATAGACAGCGATCATGTGCATTTCCTCATGTGGTTCATCAGCTTCCGGTATATATGGACACCACGAAATTCGCGGAGTAGCATTAATTGAAATAGAATTATCTTCTCGGATTATGTTCAAATATTTTGTTCTAAAAACCGCTTTTATTTGTACTGAAATCAAATTTCAGAAAAAAAATCTTTACATGAACTACATTTTGGGCTTCAACAACAACAGCTTTATGAGTTAAAATAACAAAATAAAATCTTAATGCGGCTTTCAAATTTTTTCATTTGTCAAATATTTTCTACTTACACGATACAGTCCTTGTCAACATGGTATGCATAAAGATTAGCATTAACATCAATAACAGCAAGTAATGGCGCATGATGAGCCCATTGTAAATCGGCAGTTGGGTGCTTGAAACTCTGAAAAAAAGCTAACTACTAATAACTATTTTCTTAGAATACCAACTACAGCTGCTTGGTCATTGCTTGATGGAACAGCATTCAGAAATGTTCTCTTGTTGCTCTTAAATCCTATTAAGTATATTAATAAATTCAGTGGCTTGTTACGACTTACTGATTTAGCAATCAAAAAATTCATATTTGGCAAAGAAAGCAACTTCTTTTATGGATTGTGCTTTGCATTTAATCATTCAAAAAAAAAGACGTAAATCAAAAGACACGTTGAATCAAACCAATTATATGTCTTGATACTGCAGATAAGGAAAGTTATAATATATAAATCATCTTAATAATTATAAAGGACAGTTTTATGAAAGCAATTTTTTACGGAATTCATATTAAAATTTCTTCCCTTATTTCACTTCCGAAATCCTTTTCAATACTTTCCCCTATTTTTCCTATCAAACGGAAAATTTTTTTGAATAATGGAATTTCATATTTTTATTTTTTCCACTGAATCACCAAAAATCTTACTTTTATAAGGTGACGTTTTGAAGTGGTATGCTCTAGGACTCGAACTGCTTCGCCTGTACTTTCATTAAACAGTCGATAAGCAATCAAATTTTTATGAACTGCCAATATTCGGCCATTGTAACATTCTTCGCTTGCCCATTTATATTCACTAAGAACGCGAGTATAAACACGTGACGAATCACGATCACGAGGTCGCTTATCTGTCTGTCCATCCACGTTTAGCACAATATGTGTGCCACCAGAAAACTGAACAACTGCATCAGACCCAGTTAGTACACTGCAAATTTAAATTTCATTAATACTACTGCATTATTATGAAAGACTTGCTCACCATAGGATATCTAATCCGGAAAGAAATGCTTCCTTTTGTCAAATTATTCTGATTAATATCCCTATTACTTATTTAGTTAAGCAAATATTTCAAAAAGATTCCGAAAATCTGTTCCACTAGAAAAATCAGTGGATTAATCATCGAAGCGGAAATCTTTTCATGATGTATTCTACATAAGTACAGAGCATATAAGAACATGAACATACTGTTTCTCCAGCACAGATGATGGTGATGAAACATCGTTAAAATGAGATGACAACAACTGTTCGCCGGTCATCGAACAATCAATTTTTGAAGTTCCGACAATTTCAGCAATCGAAAATAAGCAAAAAAAATATTTTTCACTTAAAGAAAAAAAGAATAAATCCCGAAAAATTTAAATTTCATACTGAAACGATAAACATTATTAACATTTTTTTATCATAAATTGTTCAAAAACACTAGAGAAATAAAAAAAAAAAAACATGAAATGACAAAAAAAAAGGGCAATTTAATGTAGTTAAATGAATTTTTACTAATAAAATAAAGCTTTAAAATTTATATCACAACTTAGGACATTACCGCAGCACATACGCGCCAACCATTTTCTCTCCCTCTTCTCTCCCTCTCTTTCTCCCCCTCTCTTTCTCTCTCTCTCTCTCTCTCTCTCTGTGTGTGTGTGTGTGCGTAACAATGAACACAATTCCCAGACCATAACGAGAAAAAAAGGGAGAAAAAACACAATTCACCGCACTTATTTCTGAAATGCTAATTTGAGCCAAATTAAATATATCAGGGGCAAGTAATCGTTGTGAGTATTTGTTTAGCATTTGCAGCTTAATTTTACAGACACAAGAAATGCATGTCACGCAGACGTTGTTTAGTTAACGTATGTGTAATCTTAATTGTTAGGTTATACGACGTTTTGCGCACACAGTTTGCTTTTGTGACGTGATATACGTCTCTTCACTTCACGACATTTCCATTGCATGGGGTAATTGATAATATTTATGCAAGATTATTATTTTTGATGATATACATACGTGGTATGATGAAATGAAATTGTTAATTAATTACCTCATTAATTGAGTTATTTGTTGAATTGTCATGCTAATGAATAAAGTTCTATAAAATGATACATTGGTAAATTCACTGTGAATGAAACCATTGAGGGAAATATGACGTATGCATTTCCAACTGAAATTAAATGTGCGTAGTAAAAATGCAAGCAAATCCTTTGCTTATTATCTATTCTCGACTATCAAATCAAAAGCATTGGAAAATTTTTTGTCTTAAAATAGGAATTTCATTTGAAACAAAAATAATATCTAAGATAACAAAAAAAGAAAAAGGAGTGACGGGAAGAAAACAAATTAATAATCGATATTGGCTAGCTGACATTAAATTCCTGCAATATGCATGCATCGATGTAATATTTCGAACAATATTTTCTTTTTTTTTTTTTTTTTCAAATAAGCAATTTTGAGATAAAATAAAAATTGCTTAGAAAACTGAAAATAAATGACGGTGAATGAATTCTCAGATTTTTCAATTTGATTTTTGAAATGTGGAAAAAAAGAGAAAATGAATGAAGTCAACAATTGTTAGTTGAATTGAAATTTTAACTGGAAAGTATAAATTGAAATAAAATTGGTATTGAATTCAAAATTTTTAAAAATTCTATTTAAATAATTTAAACTCATTTGCTTAGACTGTTTATTTTTGGGAATATTTCTGAATATTTGACAGAGGGTAAGGTTGTAATAATCCATTTGAAAATTTATTTAAAAGAAAATTTATTAAAAGTTTGAGATTTAAGTAATTTGCTTCCATTTTAACACTTTGCATGATTTAAAACGATTCTACTAGAGATGATCATATTAAGATTTCCGGTTTTATCATACAGCGAACATCAGAAAATACCATCTAATGAATATATTACTCATTGTAAGGTTATTCATAAATTTAAATTTAGATTCATCTTTCTCGATAAGCTATGCTTTATCGGTTTTTAGAAATCTTTGGCATTCGAGAATCATACAATCGCACAACATCACTTTGTGATATAGCTGGTTCATCTTCTTGAGCAAATGAATAGCCACCTAAAAGAAAACAAAAAAAAAAAAAATCTTTTGAAAATAATCTTCTTACAGATTAAAATTTTGATTTAAACCATTCGTTTTTTAAATTAACTAATACTTTCCAATTTCTCTTGCATAAAATTATCTAACTAACATAATGTCAAATTTTTCCAAATACAATAAAAAACAAATCAGCAATTAACATAGAAAAAGGAAAACTACTGCTTACATATGAATGGATAAAGTATAATAGAAATATGAAAATTTTTTAAAACTTGTGTCCAAATTTTATCAACAAAAATTTATTAAAAAACGGAAAAAAAAAAGGTGAAAATGAAGCAATTTTGTGTTAATTCAAAGTGATAAATGTATAAACTAAAAGGGAATTAAATTCAAAATATTAAGGTATTCAGATGCTTTAGTAACAATTTTATAAATTTAAATATTAATAAAAAGCCAAAAACAAAAAAGTATTTTTGAAATTTTAATGGAAATAGAAGAAATAGAAACAACTAACGTTGTTTTGTTTGTATATTAACAAGGCTCAAAGCTGATTCAGACGCTTTAGTAACAATTTGTTTTACTTTAACAAGTGGATAATAAAGATCATTGAATTGTTTCACATCAAATTCTCGTGAAACGACTTCGTCTCTAATTGTTCGATACAATGATCTTTGTAATCTGAAAGTAATATTATAGTGCTTTTGTTTTTCTTTTCTTTTCTTTTTTTTTGAATTATTCAATTATATCAATCTTGTTGTATTTATATATATATAAGAATTATTCATTTTATATAAAAATAAAAGTTTAATTGGAAAATTTCCTTCATGTATTTATATAGCTATAATACTCGTCCTTATTTTCAATTTTTTTTTTTTTTGTCATTCCGCAAATTATTTATTGATTTCGTTCATATATTTTTGTAATTAAAATTTTTTTTAATCATCAAATGTGTCATCTGATTTTGTTACCGTTTTCTTTTTTTGGAAATTTTCATAGAACAAATGTAAAGCTTGAGAGATTTCAAGTTAATGAATAGTTTGATCTATGAAATTAAGTAAATAAAAGTAATTTACTGTGAATGAATGAATGAAAAAAGTTTATGTCAATAGTTGAAAATTGAAAACAAAATATTTTAATTTATATGAGATATAAGTAATATTTAAAAGAAAAAAGACATACAATTTAACAATTAGATCGAATGATAGAGATACTGATGTGACAAATATAATATATGAATATGTGACAGGTGAAGTCAGTACATGAAGTATAGTATCAGCCATGGCTGGTTGAACTTTGATAATTGGACTAGCAGGTGATGTTAAACTGTAGGAAAAAAAGAAAATGAATAGCATAATGATTGAACCAAATAGGGCTATCCATGACATCTATAAATGAGAATAATTAGAAATGAGCAAAGTTAAATTGCTAATGATAGGTAAGTGTTCTTTAAACAATTAGAAAACTTTAAAAATCCTATATAAAATTATGAATTTTTAAGATTTCTTTACAGAATTATAAAGTTTTAAAATTAAATACGGTAAATTTTCTTCTTTTTTTTTCTTTTTATTACTTCCATTTATAATCTGGAAATCAGTTAACTAAAAAAAATAGAAAAGAAAGAAATTTATGCAAAAAAATTATTAATTTTTGGATTATTATCAATCAAAGCAATGAAATTTCTTTAAAATTAATTCAAATAAAATGAAATACTTATCAAAAATTTACAATGGTGATAGAGTCAGTTTCAATAATAGCCTTTAAATTGACGATCAGTACAACAGCCTAAAAGTTTAATTCATTTTTTTCTATTTGTTTTTTGATCACTTTTTGATCATTCTTTGCTATCTTTGCAACAATTTGATAATAATAAAAAAGCAATTTATTAATAAATAATAAATTACAAATCACTGTTACTTAAATTTAAATCAATTTGAAACAATTAAATCCAAATTTTTTTGCTGATGAATTAGAATTCTATCAATGTAATTCAAAAAAGAAACTGCAATTTTAAATTTATAAATACTCATTCTATTTGATTAAACATAAATTTTCTAAAGATACAATGTTAATAACGGTTCCCATGACGTAATAATTGGCCACGCGACCATTATACCATATGACATCTATAATAAATTTCTATTTATTTGTCATAATTTACACTAATTCAATAATTTAATAATTAAATAAATTTTGAAGGTTCAAAAAAAAAGTTATCAAAAAAATAAAAAAAAAATTGGAAAAACACTAATAAATACTTTTCAATTCTTACCATTTTTAAATGTTTGATATGCAATCAAAGAAATTACTGTAGCATGCACTAGGCCAGTGAATGCCCAGATAAAATAAGCCTAAAATGAATATTAAGTATATATAATTGTCAGATAAACTTTTTAAGCACTTATATAAATTAGTGAAAAGTTTGACAAAGCTATCTGAGTATGTGAATGATATTAGATTTTCCAGTAATTCTAAAAATCTCAGTAAAAATCAAGAATAAAATTTCAAAAATTTAAAAAAGAAATTGAAAGAAAAATTGAAATTTTGAATAAAAAAGTTATACTTTAAGCGAAAATCCTTCACTACTCTGTGATAAATGATAAAGTGCTGGATAATCGATCATCACTTCAAATGGGAATAATCGATCCCAAATACCAATTGCCAATGGTGGCCAACTAGTAAAAAATATATTAAACATTACCAGCGACCAACTATCCATTATTGCCGAATCAGCAAATAATGTATGAAATTCATAAAAGAACTGCAAAACTTTAATAAATTAATCAATTACTACCAAAAACAACTCTATCACTTAGTAAAAATAGCAGAATTTTTAATTACCATTAAAAATTTGATTACTTATTTATTACTAATGAAATAAACACTTCACCATTGTTAGAGTTTGAACAATATTTTTGTAAAAAAAGTATAAAATAGTTTTTGTGATACGATGATAATTAATAGCTCCATGAACAAATATAAGACGTTCCAGAAATCGAAACTAAAAATGCAAAAGCACAGTTTGGATTGAAAAGTTTTATTTCATTTCTTAACCTAAAAAAAATTTTTTTAGGTAGTAAAAAATTGTTTAGTAAAATTTAGTAAAGAAAAAAAATCATTTACTAAAATTATTTAGTAAAAGTAATAGGACTATTAATTCAGTTAGTCTAAATTTCAAAAATAAGCGATTATTATTTTTTTTTTTTTAAAAAAAAAATTTCAAACATATGAAAATTTTTATAATATATTTTTGAAATATCATCATATCAAACTGTTATAGTTAATAACAATTGATTACGATGGATAATTATGGTAGAGATAGATAATGATGATAAAAAGCAAACACGAGAAACCTGTGCAATAGAGTAATCAGCTGCAAGTGATGCTTGCAAACCTTCTTCACCACTTATTCCAACACCAATATCAGCTTCCTACAATAAAAATACTACTACAAATAAGGTAAAATAAGAAGAAAAAACATAAAAAAAATTTTATAAACTTTTAAATAATTTCATTATTAATATTTTATTGATTAGAATAAATTTTGAAAAATTTTCATAAATTTCTCTGCATGCTTATGTCATATTAAAAAACTAATTGTTGATTATTCACCTGTATCATTGCTACATCATTAGCACCATCGCCAATTGCTAGTACCGTACCATCGGACCAATTTTTTAATGCTTTTACAACAGAGGCCTTTTGCGCCGGTGAACAACGACAACAAATAACCGTTGATGATAAAGAAGTCAGGTGTAAAAATTGCATTTTATACTGCTTCATTAAAGCATGATTAAGACTCTGTAAATTAATTACATTGATAATATATTCATTAAATAGTTGAAATTATCTTTTCTTTCATTTCAAACTGAAATGATTTTAATTTTATACGTTTTTTTTTTTGAAATTTTAAAAATTTTTTATTTTTATTCTCATTTTCATCCTACTTTTCTACCATAAATCATAATGTATGTCAAAAAATTAAGTAGCAAAAATTTTAAAAAAAAAAAAATCAAATAAAAAATTAAATAGAATAAATGAAGAAAAAAATTTCATTTTTGTATTTTTTAAATTGAATAATTTTTACATTGTAACAAACCTCGCCGCTAACAATTAATGAAGTTTTAATTTTTTTATTTGCAAAATTCTCAAGATATATGTTAATTTTGTTAGCCGTTTCTTCGGCATTTCTTTCGCCAAGTACCTAAATAATCAAATTGAATTGCTCTTTGTAATATTTAAACAATAATTTAATCTTTTTTTTTTTTTTTTGCTTAAATAATAATATTAATTTCATATGATAAATTTGTAAGTGAAAAAATTTCATTCGTTCATTTATCAATAGTTTATTTACAATTTGAATTCACTCAAACTTATTAAATTTATTTACAATTTTTGTTGAGAATAAAATTTTCAACATTAAAATAAAATTAAATAACTCGAAATATACCAGAATGGGTGTGAATGGATCAATTAAACCACATGAATAGCCAATACTTTGTGCTGTTTCTAATTTATCACCTGTTAAAACCCAAACTATAATACCACCTTCAATCAAATGTTCGATTGTTTTCTTGACATCCTACAATTGTCTTCCTGATATTTTCTAAATTCAATCATTTTAGATTTCTAATTAGTTCATTAAAAATCCAATATACTATCATTTTTCTTTTTTTAAAACCAGTGCATTTGATGCTAACTCTTTTCATCAAAATATACAAATGTAAATAAACTGTTAATCAATTTATATATTTCAACAAAATTACGTCATAAAAAAAATTAATTAATTAATAAGTCTTTTTTCTGACATTCTTCGCCTCTTGTAGAATTTACAAAAATGATTTATAAATTTCATTTTAATTATAACTGTTATCAAAAAAAAAAAGAATTGTTTAAAAATGAATTTATCACTATACCTTCTGTAACTTATCTTCAATAGCTGATGCACCAAGTAATTCAAGATTCTGCAATTTATAAAGTTATTGCAAGCAAAAATGAAAATTGTTACATTTGAGCAAATTTTTTTCAATTTTATTATCATATAAATTCACAATTGGTTAAATTAGCTAATTAGTTATTCAAAATAACTAATTAGCTAAATTAAATTCTTCGGAATTTAGACTTATTGCATTGTAACTTTTTCAATTTTTTCCGCTTCCTCTTCAATCAGCATTTCACGTTTTTCAAGTGCAGTACTTGCGCGATGATAACCAGGCTCCCATTTCTCATATTCTTCCTCACTAAGAATACACATTGCCATGCATAACGTACGTAAACCTAAATTTCACTTTTTTTTTTTTTTTTGATTAAATTTAAAGTTTTAATTTAATATTACAAATTATTCAAATGGAAATAATTCTAAAATATAATAATTTATGAGAGGGAGAGAGAGAGACAGGAAAGACAAACCAAGATTAGCAAAATATACCAAATGTTCTGCTGTTTTGTTAACTGAATACTTATCAGAATTTAGCGCTAATCGTGGAAAAATAACGCTATCCTAAAATTTAATCATTATCCTAAAATGAACAAATAAAAATATAATATAAATTGAAGAAAGAAATGAATAATTAAAAATTAAACATTTAATAATTTAACTTACAGCTCCTTTAATGTATAATTTTAACTTCCTATCTGGACATCGTACAATAACACCCATTCGTTTTCGATTACTTGTAAATTCTAATATATGTAATATATCATACTTCTCTTGCTTACCCATCTATTAATAAAAAAAATTTCAATAACTAACAAAATTTTATTAATAAAAATTTTAAAATTTATATAAATTAAAATTTTCAAATTGAAAGAAAAAAAGGAATAGTTACAGCTTCAATATAAACACATTGTGGTGTTCGTGTATGAAAGATAAATTTGAGATCTTTTGCACCTTTAACTAATGCTTTTTCATCTGAAAATTTATTGCGAATTATACCGGAAATTCCATTTCTTTAAGTAAATGCTACCCGGAAAATTCGATTTTTTACTTTAAATTTACTATCCAGAAAATTTCATTTTTTTCCCCAACTTTACTGTTCAGAAAATTTAAGTTTTTTTTTTTCTAAAGTTAATACTTAAATTCCACCATTTTATTTCTAAACTTAATATCGGAGAAGTTGCATCCTTTAGTTCTTAAATTTGATTATATTCTTTTGTCTAAATTTTTTTCATTTTTATGTTTCCACTAGAGGAAGATCAAATGGTAAAACTTCAATGATCAATTATTAATTCTGCGATATTTTTTTGTCTTTCATTTTTTTTTTTTTTTTTTATAGAGCAATATATTTTATAAAGTTAAAATTATGTTTTCTCAAGTAGAAATGGAAAATTTCTGTCCTTAGTAAAAAAAAAAAAAAAGATATGGAAAGAGAAACAATCAATCTATAGCAGAAATTAAGTTACAAAAAATTCAATACCCGGTGATGGTGAATGATAAATTATTTTTTCTAATTCCGAATTTATAACTTTTTCCGGAACAACCATATGACAAATTGCTAATAACGTTAAAAAATCACGTATAGATTTAGCATTACCCTTTAAAAAAAAGGATTTAAATTTTTGAAATGATTTCAATTTCTGGAATAACAGTTTGAAAAATTTCTAAAATTTGAAAATGCATTTTTCTTCTTTAAATACGATATACATGAAAATTTTTTTAAATCACAAGAATAAAAAATGAGTTTATATTAAAAATTACACAAAACAGATAGCTTTGGAAGTTAATTGAGATATTTTACTTTATAATTAAAAGATTTGTAAATCATTGAATAATTAAAAAGAAAAGAAAAGATTTTTAGTGATTATTAAAAGAAATTATTTGATAATTACTAACAGCATTATTGATTAAATCATCAAGAATTGCTTCATCAGTAAATTTCTCTGTCATCATTGAACCATATTTAATACCACCAATGGTACACATTTTAAAGCGCATCTTATTTTGTGTTAATGTACCTGTCTTATCACTGATAATATAACGTACCTTAAACATATCAAATAATATATGCACATATTTGAATAGTTGAATAATTCGATAAATATAAAGAAGAATTGGAAAAGTTAAAAATAATTTAATAACGTGAAAATAATAATACCATAATTTAGTTATTAGATCAAATAAACAAATCCATTTTTTTTTCTTTTTCTTTTACAAAAACAAACTTGTCCAAGTTGTGAATTTAAATTTGAACTTCGCACTTCAGCTTTTATATCAGAATTCTTATCATAAAGATTTAAATCCTGAAAGATATTACAGCAATAATTATTCCGTTTAAAATTCATTTCGAATCATTTTTAATATATAAATTGTTAATGATAGCACAAACTTGTTGAATAAAATAAGCTTGGAATAATTGAATCATTTCAAGTGTAATATTCAAACTGATCGGTATTAAACCAGAATAAAATATTATTAAACCGACAAGTGTTGGCAAGATGTGTAAACGACGAAAATTTCCTAAATTTAAATAAATATATATGAAATCATTTCTCCATCAAAAATATTTCCGCTTTCTTCCTCTCTCCCTTTTTTTTTCTGTTTCTTAACAAATGAAAAACCTAAATTCAATCATCAAAATGTAAATATTATTGAAATTTATATGTATATGAAATCAGTATTAAATAATTTAATAACATCATCAGTAAAACCTAACATATTGATTTGCAAAATATCATATTTTTATTTCTATTATTTCTTGTTCTTTTTTTTTTTTTTGTTTTCTTTCTTTTAATATTTTAAATTCAAATTTTAATTCTAATTTTAGCTTTGATAAAAATAAATTTAATAAACCAAAAAAAAAAAAAAATTAAATACCATGGAAATATGGAAGATAATAATACATTTTATTAATACTACTACAACCCATGCATGCGTTAAATAATGCCATAAAAACTAAGAATCCAAATTGAATCATCATCATACAATTGGTTATTCGTTCCACTAATGAACTCCAAAAAACAAAAAATAAAAGAGTGATAAGTGCATATGTTTTGCTAATAAATATTTGAAATAGTAAATAAAAGATTTGAAATAAACAATTTAATTAAATATTACCATTCGAGATTTAGCTTACTTCGTCTAAACAAATTCAACTAGCTAATTGCTAAAATTTTTTCGTTTTTTATTAAACTTTGTTCAAATTTGAAATGATTAATTGGTCATAAATAGAAAAATAGAAAAGAGCAAAAGACAAAATTTGAAAAAAAAAAAAAAAAAGCAAAAGTACCAATTAAATCAATAAACTTAATTATATGATAAAGAAGATGAAATTCAATCTGTTAATAAAGTGATGAAATGAGTAACAGCAAGTATTTAACAATGACTGAGGCAGTTCAATTGAAAATTCAAAACTGTTGCATAAGATAAAATCGGAAATGTGAAAAATATATCAAATATATTTGTAAATTAATTTTAATCACATCTCCCAATTGATTTTTTTCTAAGTAAACAGTGCTTATTTTAAGTAAAATTTACTTTGCAAGTTTTACTTTAAATAAATTTGGACTGCTAATTAATTGTTATTCATTACAGTTAGCTAATATTAAGCAGTACTGCATGTTTATTTTTAAATTTCGATATTTATAAATTTGTATAAAAATCTGAAAGATTTAATAATGGTAGTGACTTAGACTAACTAATTCGAATTTAAGTGAAATTATTGCAACAATGACAAGCATTTGAAAAATGATAAATGGTTAAAGGATAATTTAGATAATCGCATGATTGTAAGACAAATATTTTCCGGAGATTTAATTTTATATTAAATAAGATTTTTGTTTTTTAAATCCATGCTTAAATATTATTTTTATTGAGAATCATCCCATTTAAAATTATAAAAATATTCCACAATTTTAAATTGTAAAGCTAATGAAAAGTAAGTTTACACTTTTGTACGAGTACCGCTTGTATTCAGTACAAGTTTTGTGCAACGACCGGTATATACCGTAACACCACAGACCCAATCAGTATTTTGTAGCTTGCATCCACGAGGCAATAGTTGATTTGTTCCTGCAATTTTTTTCATCATAAATTAATTTGTTAAAAAATATTCAAGACTGAGTAAATTAACTGTAATTCTTACTAGAGAACTAAGAGTAGCCAAAAACAATAGCATAGAATCGAAATTGTTGAATAATATATAAATATTCCGGAAGAAATTAGATATAAAAATTATTTAAAAAAATGCAAATAAAAAAAAAAAAAAACTTTTTCCTAGTTAATTTTTCAATTATTGAAAGATATCTTCCATCATAATTAAACATTTGAATATTTCCTCCTCCAAATGGTTTATCTTATCTAATATTTATTTATTTATTTATTCAAATCGACTGTTTCACTCATTCAGTTATCTATCCGTTCATTAAAAAACGTATGTATCTTTAGAGTGGTACAAATTTGTATCAAACATTTAATTTATAGCACTTAACTTTTGCATAAAAACTGTAAATTGAGCAATTTGAAAATATTTAATTCTTTTCTTGGATTTTACTTATATAGTCATTATATTATAATTGAAGCTAAGTACACTTTAAAAAGAATTAAAAAACACATTCTTCCTGATAAATGAGAATTTCAGCGAAGTGTAGATATAGTGCGATAACATAAACAACAACAATTATTGCTGTACTACTGCCACCACTAACATCAGCAACAAACAACAACAACAACAAACAATAACAAATAACAACATCAACCACAACACCGATGTAACAAAATGAACAATAAAGCATCATCAGCATTACCAGTATCAACAATAACAACCACAAGCGTCACCAGCAACAGCAACCATTACTACTACTACTACTACTACTACAAAAGCAAAAATAAAAGAAAAACTAAAAAACAAAAATCACTGAAGAAAATCACTGAACAAATAAATATAACAACAAACAAAGATCATTGTGCTGATAAATACAACAATAAAAAAATGTAACAAACGATCAATTACAAATTTGATTTAATCTATAGCTAACTGATCATTTTTTTTTAAGTTTCATTTCTTTTTATTCAATACATTATTTCATCAGATAAATAAATCATTCACCATTGCTTAATTTAACTAATTAATCTAACTAATTAGTTATAAAATAACAAACCGAGGGAACAATTCGTTTTAGAATTTTCATCATTTCCCTTTTTTAATACTTCAGATGAATTGTTAATTTTAATAACACCATGAAATTCATATAGTGCTGGATTTGGCGGATCACATTCTATCTTCGATAACGATGAACAAAATGCCTATAATAAAAAGTTTATCTTTTTTTCTTTTCTATTGTGAAAAATTAATTCGAAGAAGCACAAAAAATGTCTTAAAAGATGTAGTAAACAAAAATTAGAAATGACATGAAAGTATTTAAAAGGCAGTTTATTTAAAGTTATTGAATTTTTGTTTTAATTTCATCAAAGCGCAAATTCGAATATAGCAGATAACATAACAGTAATAATAGTCTAACAGATATAATAAAAATAAAAATACAATAGCATGCATGAATAACTTATTAATAGCAAACAGTATTTTTGATTTTAAATCTTTTATAATTTTTTTTATCTTATTCGATTTAACTTAACTAATTCAATAAAATAAATCAAATTTCTCATTTATCAAAATTCAGCACTTTATTATAAATTAAATTAAAAAATTGATCTTAAAATTTGATAAAAAAAGAAATAATAATATGATATGAAATGATTATAATGAAATTAATCAACCATAATTCTATCATCATCATCAATTATTTGAGCAGTTTGTGGTAATGCTTGACGAATTTTCAGATTTGTTTCACCATCCAAATTACTTGTTTCAATATATGCTACACCAGCTGGTTCACTTGATGAAAGTAATACAATATCTGCTGGGATAAATTCATTTTTCATAATTTTCACTACTTGGCCAACTTTTAACTGAAATTTTATATAGCAATCTACGATTCAATATATTATATTTAATTAATTACTTTAATTTTATTCTTAATGAAAATTTACAATTTTAAAATGAGCAAAAATTAAAGAGCGAAGTTAAACTTGAGCCCAATGAATCTTTTTCCATTTCCAATTTTTTGCATATTCATCTTGTATACAAATTAACACAAATTGTCGATTTACGCGACGATCTGCTACCAGACGTCCCTTTAATTGTCAAAATTTAAAAATAACACAAATTCATATTGTATTCATATTAATTAACTGAATTTCAAAGGAAAAAATAATAATAATAATAAAATTGTAAAAGAAGGAAAGGATCAATAGATCTGAAAGAAGAATAGCAAAAAGAAAAAAAGAAATAAAATAATTATCAATTCACTCCGTCGAATTTACAATTTCAAATTGGTAATGAAATTATATAATAGATATTAATAATCAATGCGACATTACAGTAATATTAAAGATAGAAATAAACGAGAACAAAAAAAGATTAATACAATTAATCTTACAAAATCTTCGAAAATTTCTTTTGCTGCCGCTGCTAGAATGATAATAACAAGAGGTACAATAGTTGTATTCGTACCGTAAGGATTTAAATTTGGAAAAAACTAAAAATAAATTCTAACTTTTATTTTGTCAAGAAAAAAGGTGAAAATAATTAAGTAATATGATTTCAATAGCTTCAAAAAATAAACATAAAAGACTAAATAAATGAATGCTGGTACAATAAAAAAAATTATGCATACAATAAAAAGGAATGGAATTAGTCGAATAAAATATATTTAATAATAAAAAAATAAAATTAATGATTTAGTTTTTTTGTTATATACCAAGAAATTTTATTTTATATTTCTATCATCGCAAGGGCAAAATATTTTTCATGTTGTTTATTTTGTCAACGAGAAATATCAGTAAGAAGTTTTATTGAATATTTTATTTGATTAATTTGAAGCAAATCATTTTATCATTACTTATCAGACATATAACTAAATAAAGAAGAAAGAATATAATTAAATAAGTTAATAATTACATAAGTAATTGACATATATGTAAAATAATTACAAGCATATATCTTTTTTTTTAATTTCCCTTTATTTTTATTCCATTAAGTACTAGCAATAATAGCAATTAAAATAATGCTAATACAATAAAATGCTAAACAAATAAGATAAGAACATTATACCAACCTGTACGATACAAATCATAAGAAAGAACCAGTTTCCAAATGTTTTAAATTGATAAAATAAAAATACAGGAATGAATGTGATAATGTTATACTTTGTTGTTGAGACATAATTTGATGTTTTCCAATCTGCTCGTCCAATAATTATATGTGAAGATGTGAGATAACGATTTTGATGCCAAAACATCTGGAAATAATTTCCATCTTTTGCTAATTAAATAATTAATTTGTGATATAAATTAATTAACCGAATAATCATAAATAACTTTTCCTCTCCTTTAAAAATTTATGTAATTATATAAACTAAACTTAGATAAACTTAATTAAATTTGAGACTAAAATTTAAATCTAAACAGATAGATGTAGAAAAAATTAAGGACGAGAAAAAAAAGGAAGAAAGAAATTATGCTATTATTTGGATAAACTTTTAATTAATCCTAAAATTTAATCGTTCATTAATCTTATTTCTAACTAATTAATGAAATTTTCGAAATGTTAAATTTTGCTCTCTGAAAATGATCCATTTGAAATCAATTTTAATAACCTTTTTTCATATGAATGAGAATGTAACACTGAATGTTTGCAATGCAAAATAGTTACTTTTATGCTAAAAAAGAATATTATATTTATGTAAAAATATTATGTACAAATTGCAAAATTTTTTGTTTATTTTACAATTTAATTTTGTAAAATTTCTATTGCAATTCATTTTAATCTTAAATATTTCACGAAGAATTATTCATTCATTTATTCAACAAATAGAATAAGAACGGAATCAAGCCTTGTTTATTACTTAAATTGATTAATTTAACTTTGAAATTAAACGCTTCTTTGCAGACTTATCAATTAAGTAGAAAATTATTAAAAGTGAGAAAATGATAACAATATGACTGACTGATTGATTAATTGATAAAGTGAAACAGATTTAATCATTTCTGGAAATCATTTTGATTTCAAACAGAACACATCTTGATCAATTAATAATTATAGAATTGTTTCTTTCTTTTTAATTTGAAGTTAATTCCGCTTACAAATAAAAATATTTCATTTCTAATATCACAAATTTTCTATTTCCCATTTTGTTCTTTTTTAATTCATTCCTGAAATGAAAGAAACAACGCAGTTCAGATTGAACAAATCAGAATATTCTCTCACCTTTCTCACTTTTATTATTATCAATAAGAAAAATTTTTATCGAAATCAAAAATAATTAATTTATACTAAGTCTTTATTTATTAATTTATATTACATAGCATAATAAAAAAGTTTCAAATATTTTAATAATATTCATCAAATCAGCAACTGCTTTTTTTTCATCTTTTTTTGCAGATATATCATGGGAAGATTTAAGGGAGAGAGAAAGAGAGAAGGAGAAAAGGAGAAGAAAAAAAAGAATGGAAGATTATAATAAATTTTAATCTAAATTAAATCGAATTAAATTTAATTCGATTTAATTTAGTCAGGCAAATTTAATTAAATTACATTAAATTAAATTATGTCAAATTAAATTAAATCAAATTACATCAAATCAAATGAAGTCAAATTAAATTAAATTTAAATTTAATCATTTTAAACATTCAACATTGACATTTGAAACGTAAACAGTGCTGCAACAGAAACAAGTTCATTCCTCTTTATGAATATGTCAGACCCCGAGTTTACCAATTATGCATTTTCGTTTTTCTTTCTTTTCTTCTCTCTCCCTCTTTCTATCCCTCTCTTCATCTCTCTTTTTTTCTCTCTTTGCTCTTGTCTCCTTATCTGTTTTTTCATGTCATATTAATGCATGTGAAGACAATATTAGCTAGAATTGACTTCCCATCGTCGTATTAGTCGTATACATAAACCATCCAGCAATGCTTTAATCATAATCTCCCTTTTTTTGTTTTCCCTCTCTCTCTCTCTCTCTCTCCCTCTCTCTCTCTCTCCCTCTCTCTCTCTGTTATATTAGCATTCGTCTAAATGCACTGTTGATTCATTAATTAAATCTCTGTCACGTCAATATTATGCGTAAATTATCGATAATAATTTATATCATAATATTTATCTTTTCTCTCTCTTTTTAATGATTACACACTTAGATACACGTTAATTGGCTTCTTCTCACGTCAGTGGCTTATATGAATTATTAGATTAACAGTATTATAAGGATTACTTACCGTTTCAGCTGGCATGGATAAAAGTATAATAGTGTTAAGTGAGGATGAAGATGGATATGAACTCGAAAGACAACTAAATGACTCGAATATACCAAAAAAGTGTTAGTATTACTATGATTATTTACAATTTCCATTCACTTTTATTTACTCAGACCAATTTTCTCAGTTCGTATAGACTTGACTGATTTATTTTCGTTACAAATCAAATCTCTTTCATTATTTATCATAGTTATTTTTTGACGTTTTAGTTATTACATTATATATTGTTCGGATTGCATTTACTTCTATGTCTAGGCTATTTTTGGTGCATTTTTTGGTTTCTAAAAGATACTAGTTGTCGTGGTCTCTTGATTTTAGATATCTTTTTTTTTTTTTTAATCTGTTTAAATTTATTTTTTAAAGGAAAGCTTTTCAACCTTGTTGGCTGATTTATATCTTTGCTTTTTCCTGATTATCTTTTGTTCCTTCAGATATGAACGACGAAATTCTCGAGTATGATGAGGGACAAGCTAAAGAAGAGCTGATGCCATCCAGTTCGAGATTTCTTGATGATGACATTCATAGTCAGGCACTACTAGAGTTGAATGATGAAGCTTTTCTAGATTTGGTTTCTTCAGATAATGAATCTAATGATTCATATGAAAAACCTCGATACGCACCAGATGAAATACCTGAATCCGAAGATTTCGCAAATTGGTACAGCAATGAATCGTTCTCACAACCTGTGCAATCGTCGCCAATACTCAAAGAAATTCAATTAAACACAAATAAATTCATAACATCTTCAACTTCTTCTGATAAAAGATCATCGATATGTATAGCGCGCTCAGTTTCTGATGGTGTATGTATGGAGAGAAAGAGAAAGAAGAGAACAAAAGATGAAATAAATGCTGAACGGGTTATGTTTCATAATTTTCAATCATAATTATGTCTTGTAGTTATTCCTAATCATAGTTGATCTCCTCAGTGATTCGTTGGAAGGATAGGCTTGGTTAAATTTGGTTTGGTTTTTATGAAAGTTTGAAATTTTAAGCAGTATCTTTTTTCTTGAAATTTGTTATAGCAGTATGAAATCATAGCTAAAAATGAAGCTATGATAGACTCTTTTAACTTCTCAAATTAATGTAATATTTGATAATAAATCTACTTGCTGTTTTAAAGATGTTTAATGGATTAATGGATAGCTAGTAATCATGAATATCATATGTTAGATGTACAGCTCTGGGTGGTAGAACTTAGTACGTTAACTTAGTATGCCAACTTATCATGAATAATTAAGGCTGCAAAAGAAGAGGCAAGACAAAAAAAGAAACAAGAAAGGATAGAAAAAAAGGTTAGTTTAGTTTTGATTCTACAAGGAAATATCAGAATATTGCTTATATTCTTCTTATTTGTTATGATGTATTTATCATAGTGTTTAAGATATTCTTGCTTTCCGACACTTTAATCAACTTCTTTCATATGAAATGATAAGTAGACCATTCGACAGGGATGAAAATAAGGTGATCTTAAGTAAGTTGAATCAATTGCTTCTAAAAAACTTTAGCAGTCAAATGGAAGTTTATGTTTTGCTTTTCAGAAGCGAACTGAGCTCGAGAAACAGTTAGCTAAATTTGAACGGGAAGTATCCGCAGCGAAAAAATCAAAATGTGAACAGAATCTGTTCTGTGTTATCAGTCTAGATTTAATTTCTGCAATAGGTATGTTATCGGTAGTTAGCAGCATATAGTTAGATGATTTGTTGCCCTAATCCAAAGTAGGGACTTATGACAACTAAGTAACTTCAATGCATATTCTCCTCAGTAATCTTCTGTCTTGCCGTTTATTAATTTTTTTAAAATTTATTAATTTTTTAATAAACGGCAAGATAATTTTTTGACAAACTTATCTTGAAAAATTGCTAAAATGATTATGCTAAAAATGCTAAAAAAAAAATTGCTAAAACATTTTTATTGTGTCTTCATTGCTGTTGTAGTGACTTTTAAAATAATGATATTCATACGACTACGATTATAAAGGATTTTGAATTAGCTCTCTTCATATTGCAGATAATTTAGACGAGCTAGTCATGAAAATATTCACGGATCGAGGTATTCGTGATCAACTCCTTTTCGAAGTTGCTGGCATGACAGTTTGTTGGAAAAGAAGAGTTTTGCAGGGAGAAGTGGAAAATAACGAATTTATTCGTAGCGAAAAGTTGGTTCGTTTTTGTTTTATTCAATTTCTGCTCATTTCTTTTCACTAATTGATATTATCTTCGGTTGTTTGCGGTTATAAAATGTTGAAAATATTTAACAACAGTGTCAAACAGGAAAAAATATATCTCCGAAAGCTTCATGCAATTTATGGACATTTTCATATCCTAAATAATATGAAAGACGAGCAAATTGATTAAAATAATTTTAGTAGTTGGCATCGTAATTCTTCCTTTAAAGTTAATGCCCCACCGTAGTAGACATTCAGATTTTACGTTGCAGAAAAGCAGACAAACTGATTGCATGAAACAGTTTTTGACTTTAATTTAATGCTTATGCTTTTATTGTTCATTTATTTTTATTTGCAGTCCTCTTATTAACATCATTTTTTTCGGGAGCTAAAGATTTCGTTCTGCTTGTCACAGGCGTTGCATTTCTAACCCTATTGGTGACATCATTAATTACAGTGTTTATCAGCTTCAGTTTTAGTATTTGATTATCTTTTATAAGAAATGTTGCAGATGTATGAGCAATTTTGTATTTTGTCAATGAATGCGCAACGCTATGATCAGTTCAAATCAGCTGAAGACGTTGCAGAATTCATTGAAGAGTGTCTAAAAAAGTATCCATTTCCATCACCACAGCTTACTCTTGTTGTTCATGGCCCGTTAAAGTTGCGAAAAGAAAAAGCAAGTGTCCTACAATTTAAACTTGTTGAATGAGAAAGTTTGTGAAATTTTGCTAGTTTAGCTAACTACGAAGTTCTGAGCTGTAGAATGACTAATTAAATTATATGAAAACATATTGATAGGTAGAAAAAACTTTTCCGAATAATAAATTTCAAAGCTAATACATTCTTCAGGTGGCAGATTTTGTTTTGGAAATTTTTGAACGTTTTCGAGCTCAGACTCGTTTTATCTTAAGTGCGCAAGAATATGCTGTGCTTATTGCTCAAATGCATCGAGCCATTGCGCGAAATGCAAACCGCTTGGAAGAACAAATTCTGCCTATTGTAAATATCGAGAAAGGTATCACTGAAGTAAGATGTGATCTATCATTTCTATTCCCAACTATTTTGCTTATTCTCACCGTAGGCATCACATCAATGAGTGTCCCCAATTCTTGGCTTTTTATCAAAATTGCCTTTAATATCCTTTAAACTTTTCTATTAAAGTATGGTGATTCAGTTTTAAACGAATCTAGACATTTAATTTTTATTGCTATATGCATATTCTCCCATAGAAAAACCTCTCCACATATTTCAAAATTCTTAAGAAACTCCTTTCGAGTACACTATAATCGAACGAGCAGTAAGACTTCCAACATGAAAAGCACAATGAATTTGTATTCAACATGGATTTGGCTCGAAAAATGAAATCCATTCTCTTAATTAAATCTATAATTTACAGAGTGATGATTCAGCCATTATATCTGATTGGTGGATGAAAATGTTAAGTCAGATCCATCGCATGGGAACCGATGCACAGCGGACAATTGTAAAGGCATTTCCAAGCCCACATGCTCTTTCGAAGTTGTAAGTTTTTGTTCAACGCAGACTGTGTTAACTGTTATTACCAAGAAATTCCTTTTTATAAGTTCTAAAACATCATCAAATGGAAACTTCAACTAGTCAGTTTTCAAATCCTAAAATGTTCGGAACGATTCCATGCAAAAATCGCATAAAACTTCTTAAAATCATCTGAATCCCACAATTTACAGATTAAGGACGATGCCAATGAAAGAAGGAATGAAAATGTTGGCTGATACGAAGATGGACTATGGCAAAAGAATTGGACCAGTGTTAGCGCGTAAAATCTATTTGATGCTTACAAGTATTAATGGTACCGAAATTATTGATGAAAACTGAATGTTATTTCGATGACTTGAAAGAAAAGAAGTTAAGAATGCTTCTTCTCTCTAGTGAAAGCAAATACGATTTGGAACAAGTGATATGATTTTGATAATAGGCACGAAAATATAAGTAACTAAGAAGTTAGGGCAATAGTAGGAAAGGTACTGGCTGGCGAGTATGAATTGGGAAAGTGAAACGTAAAATACGAAATCCAAAATATATCACGATTTCATGTATGTATATATACTATATTTTGACTTAAACATTTTGACTGAACTTTAATTGCTTCGATATCGTAAGATATCAGCAGCCTTTTTCAATGTGCAATTGAATTTTCCTTAAATGAGTATCTTCACAAGAAGGTTTAAAATCATTAAAACAAACATTATTTAAGGAATAACTTGTCAAAATTTGTACTCCTTAAAAAGTAGAAAAATTAGAGAAAGATATTAACAGCAAATACAGCACAAATAGAGTAAGTAGTATAACAGCAGAATTTCAACAAGAAAAAATCATTTCTAGACATTAATCACTGATAATGAGGATGTGACCTTTATTATGATTACAAAAAAACAAAGTGTTCAAATAAATCATGATGAGACCTTTAATTTACATAGTGTTCGACCTTCGGTTATCCCTTCCTTATTTAATCTCAGACGTCCTTCTGGTGATGAATAATCCGAACTGGTTGCAATTCCACTGGCATCAGTACTCAAATTTTGCAAATAATCAAATTCTGCCAGAGCACTTATTTCTTTACGACCAAAACGTCGAAAAGTTGCTTGTCGTACAGCTCGCCGTGGAGGTACAAAACGAACATTGTCACCACGACGTCTCAACTGCTTCTCTATCAATTCAATGGTTGTTGTTTCTTCATCTGACGAAAAACTGGTGCCATCCTTTAAAAAAAGACGAAAAATACGAATTAATAAAAATTATAGAATAAGGTCATATCTAAAATTTCCGTGAAGACATCATAGACTAGCTAAATTCGGAAACAGTCTTTACATTTCCCATTTTCTACATTTATTAGTGACTTACTCGAGTTTCACAGAAAAAAAAAAAACCACTAACCAAGCTTTCAGAAAGTAATTCTCCACGGGTAGGCAAGTGGGTTAATTGTAGCAAACATTCTTGTAAACCACTTTCTATTTCAGTTGTTGAAACCATCGATGGTAACTCACTATCCGAATATGAACGCCTCAAAGGACTATGTGGCGATTTTACACATGATTTTTCGTCCGCAGTTATTTGCTCCGGAAGTATATTAGCATCCTAAAAATTAAAATTAAGGATGTTAAGAGTTTTTATCATTTTTCCTGTTTTCTCGCTTCGCATTAGGAATACTGAAGTTGAAGTTTATAAAAAAGTTAAACATCTGAATTCAGTAATCCAAACAAATGTTCAAACTAGTTTAATACCTAAGTAATATCTAATTTTTTTTTTTTTTTTTCTGCTAAAATCCAAAAAATGCAGAGAAAAATACCTTCATAGATGGTGACGAAGTTCTTGGTGATGGTGCAGCTGTCGGTGTACTACATCTTTTGTTACGAAAACTTTTCACTTCATCCAGTGCATCACTAACATTTGAAGTAAATGAATCGTCGTAAAGATTTGCATTCGAGTGTGTAAGCGCACATAGCGCTTCACCAGCGCCAACAATCGTTGAACCACACGATGGACAACTAACACTACCCATACGTTCTATTTCACGATACTGATTATTCCTAAGTTGATTTTGCAGACCAATCTGAAAAAAAAAAATAAATCCTATCACAGAAAACAACAAATCTTCACAAATGTAATACAATGCGAAGTGTGACGATTGTATATATAATAAAGCATACAGAATTCAAAAAAAGAAAAATTCTCTCTAACCAATTACAAAAAAAGAAAGAATAAAGCAAAAGTCTCTTCCAAGAAGAGGAAAAGTTATCGCTTCCAGTCGGCTCTCAATAATATTACAATTAATAGATTTCTCATAAAAGCATTTTTTTTTTCTTTGAAGAAAATATTTCTCACAATAATTATATCTGATTCGTGTAACTGCTTCCTCAAATTTGAATTCTTCCGTCTTTCTTGATCAATTCCTCGTTGCATATGCATGACAGCTCGGCTAGCTTTTTCTAGATATCGCCTCATGTGATCTTTTTCCTTCTGGAAAAAAAAAATAAAAAAAATAGCATTTCAGATTGACACAATATTTAATAAGTTAATAACACTTTTCTCTACAATATAAAACTGTCAATGACTGCTACAATCAAAAATCACAAGCTGATTAACTAATTGTTTCACCTGTACAGCAATGATTTGTCCTTTGAAATAATGTCGTTCTTCCTTCAAACGTTTCCTTAATCTTCGTATCTCAAACTCGTATTTCTCAATCTAAAAAGTCAAATTTGATTTAAGTTCATAATAGAGTTGAGTTGATTCAGTTCATAAAAAATTTGACGAAAATTATCATTCTCTTACATAACTTTGACCGCGTCTGAAAAGTATCTACATATCGTATCCTACGATATTCTAGAACAAGAAAATATTTTTCCATTCCATACTTTTAATTAAAATTAGCAGACCTCAGCTTTCAACTCGATATCAGCTTTGGATTCCAAAAATGGTACAGGAGCACTCTGTGAACTATCTGTTGGACTGGGATCAGCACTACCATATTCAGATGTCTTTACTTCAGCATCCAAATTTCTGACGTCAGTTGTTATCCCAGCGCTTCTAAAATCATCGTGACGATCTGACGTGAATAAAAAATTTGATTTGGGCTATCAAACATGCGTCTACTTGATAAAATGAAGTATGAATACTGCAGTTAGAAATGACAAAATATTACATAAGTTACACATTAGCTAACGAATAAATAAGTAGATGGTTATCAATAAAAAAAAAAAAAAAGTGGATGAAACGGACTTGCTCTCAACCGAGTCGCATTTTTTGTTGCTAGATGATTTAATCGGGAAAATGGAAACTCCTCCAGGGCATGATCTTGTTTGCTTGCCCTTCTTTGGCGCCGTAATAACAGAATAAGGCGCTGATGGTCGAGTCCATGATGCACCGCTTATGTAGATAGCTTCCTTATCGGATCGCCAAGAGGGAATTGGTGAACAACATCGCAAAGAACGACGCGAAGATTCCTTACGATTCTATAAGGATTAACAATAAATAATTATTAAGAAAGTATTTATTTGGAAATAAACTAAGTTTTTTTGACATATTATATATGCTTCTTATCACAGGCATAGCATGCAACATAAGTACAAGTGTCTAGTCTGTTAATAAAGAGTTGAATAATATACCACGAAATCCAATTTAAAAATCATGTCTACGTAGAGCGGATTACCCTTCATATCTAATCTTGCTGAGCGGTATATTACTTCCCTAATTCAAATATTTAAGACAGCCATAAGCTCTATTTTAGATAGTAAGCTTCTGAATTGCAGTGTTCTGTTTGTAACTTTTTTTTAGAAAAGTAACTGTTTTTAAAAATGGAAAAAAAGAGGGCAAAAAGTGAATATAAATGACTAAAAGGGGAAAAGAAAGTTATAATTATCAATTTCATACATTTCCACTGTTCATTACTACTCATTGAAATGCTAAACCTAAACTAAAAATAGAAGAACATAAAAGAAACATTATAACTTATAAACCTACAAGATCATTACAATCTTTGTGCTTTCTGAAGCGAAATATTTTAATCAACGACGACGCCATTTCATATCGTAGCTTCCATTCAACAAGAAAAAAAGGAAACTTTTACATGAAATCTGGAATAAAACAATCCAATAATTGCAATGAAAATCAAATAAATTACAGTGATAAGAACAAATACAACGAACGCTTTGCTTTGTAAGTAGAAAGCTGATAAAGTATTGTAGAATATTTGACTTTTCCGATTTAAATGAATCAGATTAATCCGATAACTCATCAAGCAAAGGGTTAATCATTCCAAATTATCAACCATTCAATAAATCATTTTAACTGACAATTAAATAATCCAAGTGATCTGATAAAATGAACAAAATGAAATAACCAAGCAGAGCAACAATTTCCCTTACGGATAGTTTGAAAGAGTGGTCAGTCCATCGGACAATGAGAATGATCGGGACAAGATGGCGGGCAAATTGAACGACCCGATAAATTGAATGGTCGGATAGGTTCAGTGGTTGGAGAGTACGGACAATTGCACCCCTCCCACACACCGGGACATACACACACACACATACGTACACACACACACATACACGCACAGACACATACACACACTCAGAAAATACGGCGAGCGCAAAACATTTTCCCAACGGTGAGACAAATTGCGGTAATTTAAAGTGGGGATTTTTTTCAACTAAAAGTATAATTTTATTGATTTCTCATAAAAGAAGTTATATATTCCAAAATTAACTTAACTGTAGCAATTCACGCATTACACGTGAAATTAGTAGATTACGTGAAAGGCGTAGCAATTAGAGGATTACACGAAGAGTGACAGCTAACGGTTATATACGTATGCAAAAGTAAATTAATGGATTATACGCAAAAATAGTGGTTGACAAATTATTCACCTTAACAAGTCACACGTAAAAACAAACGGTTCACGAGTTATACGAAAAATTAATAAGTTATACGCATGTCACGAATTGTAAATTACACTTATAATTTATTTTATATTAGTATTTTAGTACGCGCTAATTTCAAGTTATTGAAGAAGTAATATCTTTAGGTCAGTAATATTTTTCTCTAGCACAATTAACTTATTGCCAATTTAAATCTTCCCTTAATTAATTAATTTATTAATTAGCTTATTCATTCATACATTAGTCGATCAGTTCATTCACTAATTTAAATCATTCAGTGATTCGTGCAGACTCTCATTTATCTTATCAACCAATGAATTATATTTCAATCATTCGTAATTGTCTTTTATTCATTCCGAAACGAATAATCATCATTTTCGGCCAGCACGTTTACACGTTGATACGTTTGTATGTATGTGTATGTATGGTATTACGTACGTACGCCATCATCATTGCGTATTTTTTTTTTCAAGACGGAATTTTGTTTCAAATCTTTTTAACGAATGTGCGATTAATGTATTATAGAATATATTTGATAATTGGTAATTGAATTATATTAAATCTATTTGATTAATCTGTCGCATTTACTATAAAACAAAAGTTAAAGAGAAGTAGTAAAAAAATTATGCATAAAGATTACACGTTGATACGTTTGATTTATACACGGATAATACACGTAAAGACTTATACTAAAAATTTTCATCTAATGAATTCATATATCTTAAATATTATATAAATTATTCTGAATAGAAAATGAGTCACATCATAGGGAGTCATATCTAAACTTTCATTATTATTTAACATTAATACTAATAGTATTATCAGGAATGATTATTCATTGTCTTCTGGTAAAACAAATATCAATAATTCCGGTAACTAAATAATTTCCTGGAATTGATTATCATCATAACTGCTTCCTTTAATTATTCAATTTATGCAACTGCATAAGAATTTCATGATGAGAAAAAATAACTTAATTCCAAGTAATTTCACTGATATCACGTTAAGTTAACGTAATATACATAATAGCATTCCCTTCTAATTAGATGGCTAATTATCATTGAAATGTGAAAGGATGAAAATTAAATTCTCAAAGTAATTCTTCATTTAACATAAAACAACATATCTTTGCTACTTTTCACTTTTATTATCACTTGAGTTATTCATTTGTTTTTTTTTTTTTTTTTTTTTAAATTTTTTATCAATTTTTTTCACTACTCATTAATTCATCCCTTTTTAAAAGAAAATTCATTAATATTCATTCGACTTTTATTTCTCATATTTTTCCTTTGGTTTTGTTTTTTTCTTTTTGCTTTTTTTTTTATAGGAATTAAAATTTCTTTTAGTTTTATATGTCAGTGAAAGAAGCAAAAAAAAAAAAAAAAATATTGCTTTTTTTTTCAGAGCTATTATTATGTTCAGTAAGAAATGAAGTTGAGAAAACAAAAAATGATAAAATAATTGATTATAAAATGAGCAATCGATTATGATAGACTATTTTTTGGTCGAAAAGATGAATGATTATTATTAAGGATTTATAAAGGAATAACATAATTTTAAAATGAGTTAATTTTGCAAATAGATCAGATCAGATCAAATGAACGTGAAATGAGAATTTTATTAGCTAGATTAATTCAACCTGAATTTAATGGCCATATGATGATGAAATTAAAATGAGAAAATCAATGTGATTTCATGGATGCTATTAGGAAGGCATACATATTTTATTCCTTAGGGATGACAATTTTGTCCTTTTAGCTATTTTTCAAATGATATATGTCTGTGTTTCGCTGTTTTTAAGCACCAATATCCATTACTAATTATAATTTCCAATAATTGTTCCATATATTAGTTATTATTTTTAGGCCTAAAATGGTAGGAAATATTAAAATCGAAGGAAGGAATTGACTTAGTACTTAAAAGTAATTCATTTCATCTTTTTTTTGTTGTCCTAATATTTTAATCATATTTGTGCACATTTTTTTCAATATACCTAATCCATTTTTTTGCCTATTTCGCACTCAACCAAACAATCTCAATCATTTTTAACCATTAAACCAACCATCCCACTCTTTCATTATTCAATTTTTAATTTTAAATAAAGCACACTTAACAAGATTTGTGTAATTGTTACCATATATCGGAAGCATTTCTGGTCAATTTCAGAATTACTTTTAATGTTTTTTTTCTAAACTTTTTTTTTAGGAAAAAATATTTCTTTTTTTAAACTCATGGCATTTTAGTAGGAAAAATAGAAATTCATGTTACATAGAATTTTGTACTATTATTATTATTACTTTATCTTTTTGGATTAAAAATTGAATAATGAAAGAGTGGGATCGAATATACTGGGAATATACTAAAATATACTGAAAAAGTGGAATATACTTGTATCATTTAGCTATAAGTATATTTCAAAATGGTATTAACCAGTCCAATTCATTTGCATTTCCAGTAATTATTCCATTATAATTTGTAATGCCTTTTTCATAATATAATTTCTGTATTTGATATAGTTAGCTTTTTTATTTCTTTTAGAAAATTTATTTGGAAAATATGAAGCTAAAAGGTAATTAATTGTTTTTTTAGTATAAATGAATTTTATGGAAAGAAGAAAAATTCTTTTCTTGCTACCAATTGTACTGTTTTAATTTGAACTAGACTTATTTAAAATTTAAGAAAGTATTAGAGGAATTTTAAACAAGAATAAGAAAGAGTTAAATAAATGAAAAAATTTTAGATTTGACAATTAATTTTTCGATAATATATTGAAGACAAATATATGTATGCATTTTAAATGAAACATTTTATATTACAATCTTTTAAATTTCATATTTTTTCAATTTTTTTTATGCAATTCAGAACAAAAAAGTAGCATTTTTAATTACTAATAAAAAAATTACTGAGAATCTTTGAACTAAGGTGAAAACATATTTTAATTTCACATTTTGTTTGCTTAATAATTTGCATTATTTATTCGCATTAACAGATGATAAATGATTCAGTTTGTAGTTGAATTATTTTTAATTAATAACAGCAACAAACAAATATTAAAATTGAATGGTTAAGAAAAATTGACCAAAAAATTAGAAAAAAAAAACTTCATGAAATTAAAATTGTTCACAAGATTTCCTGTGTGATTAAAATTTAAATTCTACATTTGGTTTATAATTTATTTGAATTTGTCATTCATTTCAATGTGACATTTGATAAAGCATAGCGTTTTGAATGTTGCAGGATAACAAACTAATCTTCATTGATGATTTAAGTTGTTTACATCAGTACATCACGGAATTTATGAACGAATTAGAAATAAAAGCTTCCAAAATAGCATATTCTATCGTCACATCTCTCGTTTTTCTTTTTCTTCCATATCAAAATTTCTATTTCTTTTCATCTTTCCATAATTCATTCTAATGTTTCTTTTTAGTCCACAGTATCCTGTATACAGTATGCTTATTTTAATCATACGGTATTCGTGATACGGCAACTTTTCATCTTCTTGAAGGACGTTCAAATGAGTTTGTAAAAAGAGGTTTTTATGATACTATTATATCATTAATTTCATCAATTACTGTGATTAGGTAAAAAATTACAGTACTTTTTTTTTTTATCTTTTTAATAAAATTGTTTATTAGTAAACATATTTCCTTTGTCTTTTTGTTTCCACAAATTTAACAAAAAGAAAAAAGAAAAAAATATTAGCATTTGAATAGAATACATTAATAAGAGGACTAAAAAAGAGTGATAAAATATGACAAAGTAAATGATTTGAAAATATGTGTATGAATAAATTAATAAATGAAGCATTTTTTTTTTTTCAATTTCTTTCTGATTGCTTTTTTCCGGTTCCGGTAATTAGTCCATTCATTATTTTCTTTTTCTTCAGCCTCTTCCATTTTTTTCTTTTTTTTGATTTTTTTTTTGCTTTTTTGCTTTTTTTTTACAATATATAAAGGTTTAAGCACTAAGTTAAACTCAACTAGCAGCTTCCTCCATCGTTTGCCAACTTCTTCTCGTCTGGGTGACAACAACAATATTACTCGCTAGCTAGCTTATTCTTTCTAGTCTAACTATTGATCGAGATGTGTCGAGAAATGAAACTAAGCTTCAGCTTACCCTCCCCTTCAGCTTACACATAGAGCACTAAACTAAATTCACTACAGGAAGGGACGAATATATCTCTTATCCATCCTCTTTTCTCCCCCGCCTCTTCTTGTCTTCTTTTTTCATCCTTATTTACTTTTATTTTTACCCATAATCATCATAAAAACTGTTTTTTATCAACTTAATGTTTCTTCAAAATTCCTCCAATCTGTTAAATTTATTGCTTCTTTTTAAAGTTATTTCATTTTCTTTTTCTTTCTTTTTGTAAAATAACAAATATTTTGTATTTTAATATGTAAAAATTGAGGTACAAATTTTGAGCGAATACTTTTTAAAGAAACGAAAATCTAAATATATTTCGAATTGGAAATTAATTATAAAATCTTTTAGCATAGAACCACTGTGAATTAATGAAATTTTGATTGGATTAATGAAAAAGAAGAAACATTGATCATAGAATCCTCTTACTTAAAGCTTAATTTCTCTTGATTAGTAATTGAAAATATATTATAAATTTGTGGAATATGCATCAATTAACTTTGTATACCTTTTGATTAGTAATTGAAAATAATTTCTAAAATTAAAATCCTCTTCACTTTTTTATGCGCGGAACTTTTTATTAAATAATAGCTTGACTGGTAAAAGTATCACTTTCTTTGCGTGAAATTTTTTTTTTTTGCTAAACAATAAATTAACTTGTAAAAATGTCATTTTTTTAAATCCTTTTTTTTTCTCGACATAAGTATCTAAAAAAAAGCTTCAAATATCTGACTTTTTGATCTAATGGAATATGAGCAAAACACATTAATGAGTAAAACAATAATGAATACATAGTAGCATTTAAATTGCTTTGATGTCAAAAAAAAGAAAAAACAAAAAACAAATCACAACAACACTCAAATTTTTCGGGAAACAAATTATTTTCATCAAAACACAAAAACTTTTTTTTTTTAATCATTGTGTCATATAAACATTTTATTTTCTATCACACAACATGCAATGACAGCCAAGAAAGAAAAGAGCCTAGGAAACAAAGAAAAAAAAAAATAATTGAGAAATGAAGCAAAACTGATTGCTGCTGTGAAATGAAACATAAAATATTTATCTCATGCAAATACTTTTTTATATCCAATTTATTGATTTTAGATCGAATAACTTATGTTTTTTTCTTTTTTTCATTTAATATTTTTTTGTCCAATTAAAATTTTTGTTTTTTTTTTTAGTTATTTGAAAAAAAATATGCTGGCTCACTTTAATTAACAACAAAAAAAGGCTTTTATTTTTTAATAACTGTTGTTTGTTTTCGCTTTAATTATAAATTAAATCGGAATTTCAATTGGTAAATTTTTCAATGTTAGAATTCTAATAATGTGTAAAATTTTTTTAAATCAATAAGAAAAAATTTCTTTTCAACTTATTTTAGTAACACTAAACTTAAAAGAGCAATGATATGAGCTGTTAAAAAAAATTGAATTAATGTATTTTAAATATGAGACAAGTAATTCCAATTGAATTCATTTATCTTAAATAAGTAAATGTGTGATCCGCAATGAATTAACATGCTTTAAATAATATTAGTAAAGTGATTTTTAATAAATTATATATTTTAAAGATTGAAGATTTACATATTTTAAATATCGGATAGATAATTTCATTATAAGAGTAATAATTATAGTAATAGTAATAGTAATAGCAATATAAAAATTTTAACGATTATTTCTAACAAATGTAAAACAGTCAATTAACACATTCTTTAATTGATCTGATATTTTTATTTCAATTAATTGCTAAATTAAAATAATCACATTCATCAATAATTGAAGCACATTTTTTTCATTTGAAATGAAAATAGTTCATCTAATCATATTGATTTACACATTCATTTCAATATTAATACTTATTATAAGTGAGAGATGAATCAATTTTTCCTTTTATTAAAAAAGGAAACTAAAAGGCTTAACAGAGATTTGCCATACAGTCTGTCTTAAAATATATATCTTTTATACTACTAATAATTTCTTCTTGAATTTGTTTTAAAACTTATCATAAAATACATTTACCATATTTTACTAATTTTATCAAAATATTGCGATATTAATTATCTTTTATCAAACTTTCATAATGCAAAATACTTTGAATGATTTATTTTAGACAAAGATTATGGTGTCATGACTGGTTGATTCAAATTTTTAACAGCTCATATTTTGGCATTATTTCTTTTTTCTTTCTTTTATTTCAAAATCATTTCAATTTAACCGATGACTTTTCGCCGACAGGTTTGTATTATTCTATTATTTATGCAACTTCAGCTTTCAATTTAATACTGCTTTAAAAAATTACTAACACCTCATCATAACTTTATTCAAAGTCATATATTTCTAAAACTGAAACAAACAAGAATTTAAATTTAAAATTGAAACTAATCCTTATCGTATTTTTTTTTATTTGCCATTTATTCATGTTCATCGAACGAAGAGAAAATTACTAATTGTTAGCAGAAATGTTCAATGTAATTAAGGATATTAAAAAAAATTTCATTTCTATAGCTGAGAAATAAAAGAAATTATACGATTAAATCGATTTGTAAATTTTATTTTTTTACACTTTCTAGTAATTAGCATTATTCATATATTTTAATTGCTGTTAAATCATACTTTAGTTTTTGTTACAAACAATGTTATAAACAATAGACATTTTAGTAGAACAATAATAATTGATAGAATTACTTCTTATTTTTTTAACTTCAAAAAAAAAAAAAATCGCACTTTTTATCTTGAAAAAAAATATCGGTGCACTTATTTTTTTTTTCCTATTTTTAAGGGTAGTGCCGATTCGAATTTTAGCCGTCGAGAAAGTGATTTTGATTTGGATGAAAGGAATCGAGAAACTTTACGTCGTGATGCGGAACGTTCCGCAGCGTTACAACTTGAACGGGCCAAAGTATGAATGCTATTAAAATAATTATAGCGAATAATTTTGGCAAATTTAATTAATATTGAATGTGTAATTTATATTATATCCTATATTTTTTAATAAATCCTTTTTATCTTCTTTTAAATCAAAAATGATAATTATATAAAGAAAAAGTTCATCTTCGGTTCGTTCATCGTGATCTAATTAAGATGACGAAAATTTAATAGTATTTATTCATTTATAGTATTTATTATGAATATTTCTGCATAATCCAGATTACTTTGCTTGATTAATTCTGAATTTCATATTTTTCAAAAACTTACCTATAATTTTAATCCTCATGCAGAAACACAATTAGCACAGTTTAGTATTCTTCAATCATTCCATTAAGAAATCTAAAATAGCAATAAATTAGTCATTTTTTGATTTGTGTGAAATAAAAATTATCTGAAATAAATAAGTAACACCTCTGAAATTAAGAAATAAGCGAATATTTTAACTTATTTTTATTTATTTTTATTCTTCAAAATTGTCCTTTCTTTTTTAATTTTCTGTCAACAAATTATTTTTTTTTTTTTTCGAATTTTCATCTTTCAAATTGTTAAATTGCAGTATAAACCGGTAGCTTTTGCTGTTTGTACAAATGTGGAATTTGATGGAACATTGGATGATGATTCACCTGTGCATGGTTGTGCTGTATCATTTAAAGTTAAGGATTTCTTACATATTAAAGAGGTAAATAAATTTTAATAAAAAATTTTTCAAATCTTAAAATTTCTTCTTGAGATTTTTATTTAAATTAAAATTAAACTTTTTTCTTTTTTTTGTATCATTGTATTTACTGTAGTGGAAATAAACTTAATATCCAATTCGATAATTAGGATATATTTATTTCAAGCATTTTTTTTGCACCATTATTTTAAATGTTTAAGTTTATTTAATATTTTAATTTGGACAAAAAAGAAAACTTTTGAAATAAGCAATATTGCAAATATTTTCGTATGCATTTTTTCTTGAAATTTAATTAAATCGTAAAATTTTAGAAATATAATAATGACTGGTGGATAGGTCGTTTGGTAAAGGAAGGACATGATCTTGGTTTTATTCCATCACCAGTTAAACTTGAAAATAATCGACAACAAAATGCAAAAGGATTAAAATTGTATTAATTTCTTATTTTCTTTTTTCATATTAATTTTTTATTTTCAAATGACATACCAAATTGATTAAGTATACTTCTAATTATATAATACAAAATTTTGGTTAATATCACTTATTGATCATAGCTTGCTAAAATTTAGATTGAATTTTTTGAAATTGATTAATTAATAGAAAATGCTTTTGAAAAAAATTAGCAGATATTGACAAAAAATATTATATGAAAGTGAGAAAAAATGTTAGAATATTCATAAATTTTTTTTTTCTTTTGAAAAAAAAGAAACTTTTCAAATAATAAAATTCTAAGTATTATTTTAATTAAAAAATTTAATCTGTTTAAAATACGAAAAAAAAAAAACAGACAGAATGCATTTTTGAACATAAAAATTATCAATTAGTTTTCTCATTGCTAATAAAAACAATATATTTTCAATTCCCAAAAGTAAATGCTTCTCTTCTTTTTCTTTTTTTTTTAATTTTCGAAATATAATTAACAGATAATACCAAATTGTTTTTTTTTTTTTTCCTTTTTAACTAATTAAGCTTTACTTTTATTCATTTTTTTTTTCAATTCCTTCGTTTTGCTTTTCAGTAAATCATCAAGCATACCAAATTTGGCTAGTTTAGATGATATGATGCCACGAAGTGGTTCACCCGGTTCAACTCCACCTACACCAGGTGTTTCATTATTATTATTATTATCTGGGAAGTAAATTTGTTTTGCGAAAAATTTTTGGAAATGAAAAACAATTGATAAATACTTATTAGTTTAAAATTTTTAAGTAATAATTACAAGTTTAAATAAAATTTGTATTATTATTATTATTCAGGTATGAATAATTTAATGAAGAAATACCATAAGTTCAGTAAAAATAATTAAAAAACGTAATAATATTTGTGAATATAATTTAATAAAATATAAACTGAAAAGAATATATATATATATATAAAAAGAATATTTAATAAATATAAATTGTCATACCAAAATTACTTTTATTAAGTTTTCAAACTCATTATTTTTAATGATTAGGAAAACATCGTTCTCCCTTTCTTTTTTTTTTTCTAAAATATTTTAGCATCTTTTCAGGAGCTGAATTAGACGAAGAAGACAATGCACATAGTAAAAAAATCACTGATTTAGTTTCTACACCTCCACCTACAAAAGAAAAAAGAAAATTGATGTTTAAAAAGGTAATTTTATTACTACCTGTGAAACTGTCACTTTTTGTTTCCTCTTTATGACAAATTTTTACGAAATTTTCAAAAGTTTGAAAAGTTTGAGAAGAAAATAAAAATTTTTAATTTTTATAAAATTTACCTAAAATATTGTTTGTGCATTTTAAAAATTTCTAAACCATTAAAAGTGTAATTGCTGCAGCAAGAAAGTTTACCTCCATATGATGTTGTGCCATCAATGCGACCAGTTGTCATCGTTGGACCATCATTAAAAGGTTATGAGGTCACGGATATGATGCAAAAAGCTGTTTTTGATTATCTCAAACATCGATTTGAAGGAAGGTTAGTTGGCATACCTTTTTTTTTCCTTTCATGTCTTTTTTATATTAGAAATTTTTTAAATTTGCGTTTTAAATTTTGTTCCTAAAAAAATTGAACAATAAAATTAAAAATAAATATAGGTAAGAAGTTTAATAGTATCATGTATAATTCTATTTCTTTTTTTTTCTTTTTTTTTTTTAGGATAATAATAACGCGTGTCACTGCTGATATTTCATTAGCAAAACGAACATTAATGAATAATCCATCGAAACGAGCAACAATGGAAAGAGCAAATTCAAGATCAAGCAATAATCTAGGTAGGTATAAATATGTTTCTTAACTAATATTCTGAATATAAGTATTTTCATTAAGTAACAATTTAGCCTTAGAAAATTTCCTCAGGTAAGAACTTGAATGTAGATATTTTTCTCAAGTAATAAGTAATAATACAGGTGTAAACAATTTTCTTTAGAGAACAATTCAATACAGATATTTTTCATTTCACAATTGATAATTTAGATTTTAATAATTTCTTTCCAAACAAAAGATTTTTTTTTTCTTATATTAACTAATTATTATAGCAAGAAGACAAACAAATTCATAGCGACAAATTATTTCAGAAACTTTTCAAATAACTTTTATACAACATTCAGAAAAAAAAAAAAAAAACAGTGCAAAAAAAGAAAAATGAAAAAATATTGATTGCTTTTGAAGCTTTAATTTTAATATAATTTAATTTTTTAAATTCATTGACTGCTTTTAAGATTTATCTTATTTTTTTCATTAATAGCTTCATGTCTTCATTTCTTTTTTTTTTCTTTTTCAGCTGAAATTCAGGCGGAAATAGAACGGATATTTGAATTAGCTCGATCCATGCAACTTGTCGTGTTAGATTGTGACACAATCAATCATCCCTCACAGTTGGCTAAAACATCGCTTGCACCAATTCATGTTTATATCAAAATTAGCTCACCTAAAGTTGGCTTTCTTTCAAATTTTCATTTTCTGTTTCTTTTTTTTTCAAAAAAAGAAAATAGTTAAACTGAAAAATGAAACTAAAATTTAAGTGGAAATTACCTTACCTGGAATATATTGCAGAGAGATAAGTAATATATATATATGATTGACATTTACATTTTAGAATATTCTTACTGTTCCTAATTTTAGGTTCTTCAAAGGCTTATTAAATCAAGAAATAAATCACAAACGAGAAATATGAATGTACAAATGGTTGCAGCTGAGAAATTAGCACAATGTCCAGTAGTAAGTTAAATAATTTTAGAAGTTTTTCTTTTCATGAAGTGATTTTAATGAAATTTTAATTTTTGCAAAAAATCATATTAGAAAAAAATTCAGTGAAAATTCATATTGTTTTAATCTTATAAATAATAAAATTAACAAACATTGAACTATTTACTCAATCTTATCATTTAGAAATTATTTTTTTTTCCTTCTTAAATTAATTTTAGGAAATGTTTGATGTTTTATTGGATGAGAATCAACTGGAAGATGCATGTGAGCATTTAGCTGATTATATGGAATCATACTGGAGAGCGACACATCCGCCAGTGAAATCACCGCCTCGAATAAAACGAAATCCAATGGAAAATCGCGGTCCATCAACATTATTTACACCATCACAAATGATGCAAGGTTAATTAATGATTGATATGATAGCTGTATTTGAACATTTATAACAAATTTTAATTTTATAGATTTTAAAATTTCATAAAAAGCTCAAAATGCAATTTAATTGCCAAATAATCAAATTCATAAAAAATATAAGAAATTGTTGAATTAAAGAAAAAAAAGGAATTAATAAAAATTGTAATTTTTCTTGTTTAAATTTTAAAATAGAATAAATACCACGAAATTTTGCAATTGCAAATTTGTGTTTCATTATATTTCTTCCCTATATTATGTCAAATTTACAAATACTTCAATTTAAAAAATATAATAGTTCAATTTAAAATGTATATAAGTAAATTCAAAATATATAGAAGTGGAATTGCTAAGCTATAAAATTCAGGAATGGGACATCCATTAGCAATATCACCAATGGTTAACTCACCGGATATGAATATTCCATCAGCGATCCGGCAAAGGAGCCCACAACAGCAGCAGCGTGTTCCAACATTTAATCTTCCACCAGTAAATTTTCAAATTTTATAATTTAATTAAAAACGATAAAAACGATACATTTCGTAAAGCCATAAATAATAGTTGTTAGCAGCAAAAAAAAATTTTATTTTCAGATACTTTATTTTTATTTTTAAATACTTCAATTTTTTTTTTTTTTTTTTTTTTAATATAAAATAATTTATTAAAAAAGTACAAAATATTTACTATCATAAGTTACTAAATTAAACATTACTTTATTCATTTCTTATTAATAGTACTTAGTTGTACATCCTTTCTTTTCTTTTTTGCATGCATATCATTTTCATCTTATTTCATTATTGCATTTTCTAATTTCAATGTAACCAATTCGAATTTAGCAATTGATTGGTTAGTCTCAAAATGTAATTAATTTGCTTTTAAAAAATTGTCCATTTTTTAATTTTTATTATTATAGAAATTAGTTTTTAGCTTTTCTGCATGCTAAATATCCTTCCCATTATTAATTTTAGTCATTTCTCTGTAACCATTGGCTAATATCCTTACTAATAAGTTCCTATTAAAATTTCGATTTTCATCAATCGTTATTTGAATAATTTTAAAAGAATTTAAAGTTTCAATGTAGCCTACGTGGACAAATAATGTGACAGAGTTGCATTTGTGACACATACATACAATAATATAAATATATAAATAAATAGGAGTAAAATTTAAATTTTTTATTTAAATAGCAAATGCATATTTTTTTCAACCAAAATTTTAAAGGAAAAAAATTTTCAACAATTTTTAGGTACAATATGATGAGCAATTAATTCAGAATTCTGGATATTATCAGGAACCATTACAATCAACCATACCAATGCAAAATATACCGCAACAAAGACAAACGTTACAGCAACACGATGATATCCATGGTTTCGATGATTACGATGAGGAAGATTTCCGACGTGATATACGTGATAATAGTTATGAATCTCGTGGTAATTATCATTACTGAATAATTTCTCATTTCTTAAATGCTAATCAGTTAATTAATAATGAATGAAAATTTAGTAATATAATACAAAATTAGATTAATTGCATGAAAGTATGATTTTTTCTAATAAAAAAATATTTATTTTGAACTTTTTTTCTTTCTCGCTTCCTTTTTTTTTTTTGCTTTTTGCTTTTTACATTTCTATAAATTATTGCAATAAATAATTGATTATTAAATATCTCAGAAAAAAGAAAGGAAATTATGTAGCATTTTTTTTCTAAATTGTTATTTTCTTTCGGGTAAGAAATTTTCAATAGGTTTTAAAATATTTTTAAAATTGTAATTTTGTGTCCAGTTGGACATTTTCTTGGCATAGTTTGTTATGTGTAGATTTCATTCGTTCTGTGTGCCTTTCAACAGTTTTCATTGTTTTCTAAATAAAATTTTACCAAAATATTTTTTGAAATAATCAGTCAATGAAAAGAAAAAACAACAAAATATGAGAAAATTTTCAAGTGTTGAAAAATTTATTTCTAAAATTTAAAATATTGAAGCAAACATGAAAACACAAAACATTCAGATTTTCAAATGGATAAACTATTTTCCATTTAAATAGCACTAATCATTGATATTGAAATATTGTCTAAATTATCAATTGAAATTCATTTCTGAAAATAAAATTTTTTTTACAATGATTAAAATTTGTGATATTTTTTATTTGATAAAAATGCATGGGAAAAAGCTGCAATGTAACTGTGCGAAATTTTCAACATTTATTGATAATATGGTAATGTGTAGATATATTTTTTTTAAATCGATTTGACCCTTACAAATTACAGTGTTTTCTATAACCTATAATCTATTAATATTAAAAATTAGTAATAATCTGAAATCACACCTGTTGTAATCTATATTATGAAGTGTAAAATTAAAATTTAGCAATGGTACTAGAATGATAGAAAAATTCGCGAAATATAAGGTAGAAAGCTTCTCACGTAAAAATCGATTAATTCAAGAAGCCAATCAATAAATTGATAATGCTTAGATATTTCCCGATTGAAATTATGTTTAATTATAATTAATTATAGTAATTTTACTGCCTATAATTTCAATTTTACTTCTATTGATAGGTTAGAGAAGAAAAAGAAATTTATTTCACAGTAATGATGAAAACTTGAAACAATTGCTGAATGTTTTCGAAGTCAAAGAAATTTTTTATTCTGTTAAAATAAATTTATGAAATGTTAAAATCGTCAAAAAGAAAAATTTTGGAAAACATTACATAAAAATATATTGGAATTAGATTAATTTAGAGGTATATTATCGTAAAGTAACAATTAAAAGAATAATAGATTAGGAAAAAAATCATTAAAAATATTTTTTAATAGGAAATGAAATTTTTTAATTCTTTCCTAATTGTTTTTTTTTTTTGATAAACAAAGAAAAATTTTGATGCAAAAAGGGAAATGAATAAATAAAGTTAGTATTTTTCATGAAAATACACAAAAATAATTTGTAATTTCGTTTTTTTTCCTGAAAAAATTTCTTCACATGAAACTATCAGCTGCATAACGAATTCCAAGCATGCAATCGGCGATACGTCCTGCTTCACGTAAACCCGATAAATAGGCACCATGAATCTGAAAATATTCAAAAAAAAAAATAAAAAAAAAAGAATATTGAAACGAAACAAAGGTATATTACAATTCTTGATAAAAGCATTAAAAAAACATTTAAAAATAATTGAAAAATAAGGTAAAATAAGGCATTTAAAAATAATTAAAAAAAAAAATAAAGTTATCAGTGAATCTTAAATTTTAAACAAAGAAGAAAAAAAAAGTATTAATTAAATTAACCGTTCCAGGATGCTCACGACAGGTATGTTCACCAGCAAAAAAAATTCGATCATAACCAGTTGAATCTTTCACTGGTTCTGCTAAACTATCAAATGCATCCACTGAAATAGTGAGAAATTTTTCTAAAAATCAAATTTTTGAACTTTTAATTAATTTAATCTTTCAATATTTCCTTCAAAAAAAAAATTTTCTAAAATAAAAATTCGGCAATAAATTACTGAATAAGTTTAATTATGTAAACATACATGTGCAATTTGATGAAACATAGCTAAAAGCGCCACGTGAGAAACAATCTGCTCTCCAACGTGTTATAATTACGTCTGTTGGCTAAAAAAAGTAAAGTAGGAAGAAAAGATTTTTAATTTCTAAAATATTTAGGAAAAAGAAAAAAAAACACTGTGAAATATAACTTTTCGTAATATTTATAATAAATTATCATATTACAAATTAATTAATACTATTTTTAACCAATTTCCGATACAGACTAGGCTATTTCATTAACAATGGAAAAATTTGAATAAATTTTGCCCTCATCTAAATTTCTCGACAAAAGTTATCATTAAGCTGTGAAGGTGATGAAAATTCCGACAAAACCATTACGGTAATCAAATCTGAAGGTGATGATAACCCTGACAAAACCGCCAAGATGATTAAGATGTGAAGTTAGATTACGATCTTTGCGTGCATTACTTTATTGTGAATTGCGTGAGAGATATATAGTAATTTAGTTTGTGATATGATTTTGGATATGTTGTGATAGTTAAACTTGTGATATAATTTTTTTTCCTAATTTTATAATTTCTGTTTAAGGTGAAATTTTTTAAATTCACATGGTTACTTATCAAAAAAAAAGTATGCAATGCTGAGGAATAGCATTATTGATTATTTCACTTATAAAAATCACAATATATTCATACCTCTTTTGGGCATGTTGGACCAAAAACAGCAGAAAGAAAATTCATGATTTTATAAACAATAATATCACCAGGTGCTTCTTCCAAAGCGTTAGCAGAATCACCTGAGACAAGTGCAATCAGAACTGGTTTGTCACGATGAGCTTGAAACATGAACATTTCACCACGGCTTGTTGCACACCTGTAAAAAGATGGAATTTACCATTAAATGACAATATAACATATCTCTTCATAAACATCAGTCTATAGATTGAATAATTAATTAATTAATTAATTAATAACAGAATATATAACTAGCAGTGAGTAACTTAATAGCTAATACAATAAGTATGATCAATAACTAACATAGTATCTGATATTTGCCCAAAAACACGTGTGTTCTCCCAGAATGGTTTTTCAAAAAATAGCATAATCTGAAATTAAAAAAAAATCAAAAATTTGAATAATGTTTTTGATAAATGAACTTAAATTCAAATTTAGCTAATAAATAAAATTGTCGTAGGAAAGTTTCAATCATTAGATTGAATTAACTGAGTAATTATTTTTTATTTAATTCATTCATTAATTCTGAATAAATCATTTGAATGATTCTATAGAAGTTTCTACCTTACCTTATTAACATTCCCAAAACCAATAGAATTGATAGCATCAACTTTCCAAAACGGTAACTCAGGATGAAACAATGGAGCATTATTTCGATTTCGAACTGATCGTTTCAAAACGCCAAGCGGTAATGTACACAGTACACAATCGCCATTGAAAATTACCTCGCGGGTACCATTAACCAAACATTTTACACTCACTTCTGAAATGCAAATTTGGAAAAAGAAACTTAATAGATGAATAGCAATTTAAAATGAATAACAATTTCAATAACTTTCAACCCTCAAAAGTTTCGAATATTCAATTTAAGAAAAAAAAAAAGCAAGCATTAAAGAAGTTAATAATATTAGCCCAAAGCTGTTTTTAAATTAAAATATACTTCAAAAAAAAAACATAAAGTAAACTTTCCAATTTATTCCTATTTCTTATTTAAGACTTTTTTTTAGGAGTCAAAATTAAAATTAAAATTTAATAGAAAGCAAAATGTAAATTAGATGATAATTTAAAAAGAGACAAACTTCCGTTATCGCACTGAATTTGCTGCACGACATGATCAAGATAAATATGCGAATCACTGCCAAGTGTAATTAAGAATTTAATAAGACCTTCAGCAACTGAAAAAAAAAAATCCTTTGAAACTGAGAAAAGAATGAAAAAATAAATTTGAAAACTTGAAAAGTTGTATTTTCCACATAATACATGCTAATATATTATCGGATAATAATAGAATATCGTAGCAATTTTTAGTTAAAAGTAGAAATTTGAGAAATTGTTACTTTGAAAGGATACCTCAATGGATGAATGAATTTATGAGAAAAAAAAAAAATCCAAATTAATTTTTTCACTTTTCCCTATCATTTTATGCTTTTTTTGTCCCTTTTTAACTAAATTTCCTACTTGAGAATATTATTTTTTCCCTGAATGAAAGAGGGGAAAAAAAAAGGGAAAACCTCTCTTTCTGACGCAATGCAGGGTATAATTTCTTGATATGGTATATTAGTGGTCCTCGGTTAAACATGAGTGGAAGGGTTAAAGCATGAGTATTGGGTACTTAAGGGTTAAAGGTCGAGTGGTACTTGTCCGCTCTAATTCTCAGCAAAAACCAATTGTACCAAACTGAATTGCAGGAAAGAAGATGAAGATGAGATAGGAAACAGGTGGCAAAATCTTTACTATTTCATATAATGAACAATTCATACTCAAGAAGAATTTATCTTAGAGTTTTAGCTTAAATCTTGATATTTAATTTTAATTTGCATAGTCTTAAAAATTCTAATTTTATTCAAAGAAGTAAATGTTCAGAGAAAACCATCGATACGAATTGGATTAATTAGAGAATAAGAAATCTATGCTCAGTAAAAGCTACCAAAATCACTGATAATGATGATAAATGAAAGTGATAACATTTATCATATTGTAAAGATAGTTTTCATTATAAGCTAACGATAATGATAAAAATATAGTTATTGATTGATGGTAAAGATAATAAATTTTATAGGAAATATTATTAAATCCGTTCATTGAATTTATTAGCTAATGATTACTTCAAGAACCTATTAACAATATCCGTCTCAGATTGAAGAGAAAATATTATGTGATTAGATAGATCGATAGAATATTAAGCATTATATGATGTTAAACAGTCGCCGATAATCTGTCATCATTGTATCATAAAAGATCATAAAAAATCGAAAGTAAAATTTGCTTCATTTCTGATTTAAATAAAATATGTAATAAATGATAAGAATTTAATTAAACTTCATATTTTAAATTAAAATAAGAAATTTCTGTAAATTCATTTACAAATTTAATAAAAACAAAAAACAAAAGGTAAGAAAAAAGAAATGTAAGAATTCAAGTAATTAATTAAATTTTTGTAAACAATACTTAAATTTTTATCAAAACAAATTGAAATTTCATGATTTCTGACTAAAATATTAACTGTTTCATTTTTCATCGTAAATTTTTTTCCAAAAAAAAATTCAGTTAATTTTACATTCATTCATTTTTCTTGTTTCCTTCTTACGATTTTTGCGCTTAAATCTTTTTCAGTCAATAATAAGAGGGAAATTACCCTCCATTAGTTCATCCCATCATTTTTCCTTAGATAAAAGAGAGAGTTGCTGGTGAGAGGAGTCGATGAGAGGATTTATTACACAATTCACACTATTGGCAAGCGACAATAATGGCGGCATTGTTCATTATCCATTAGAGTCTAAAGTATGATATTCCATGGATACAATGATACACATTGTTAGCTTCTCATTTCCTGGATACCTTTTTAAGCCTATATTTTCTATTTTAACATCAAAAAACCTATGCCGCCATCAATATTTCCGTCTATGAATAGATCGATAAATATAAATTTTAGATTTATAAAAGTAAAAAATATGTGTTTTTGTTGTTGTTTATTGCATATGTGTATTATTAATAATAAAGACTGTATCTTACACTTAATTAATTAGTATAATTTGAAAATATAAACAGAAAAAAAAAAAGAAATTGTTAAATTGTATAAAAATTACATCGTCTGTCTTTGTAAATTTACATAAATATTAGTTATTAGTTGTACCAAAAATATAACTTTTAAATTTATCATTTGAAATAATTCAGCACTGAATTTTTAATAGTAAAAGCAAAATAAATATTTCATTCCTGTTTCATTTCTGCTTAGCATTGTTTACAAATAATAATTCAACGGAATACACTAATACTTTCTATATGTAAACAAACATATATTATGATACACAAAGAATGCATTTTTATATTAGACTAATTATTGTGAAACTTTCCTAAACTGATCTAATAGAACATGAAAAAGGAAGAAAAAAAAGAAATGAAACTTTTGTTTACCTAAAAAAAAAGAAAAATCCCGATGAAATTACGGGAGATATCTCGATACGATTATTCCTTAATTCCTAACTATAAGGATTTCAAATATTTGTTTTAAAAAAAATATACACTAGAAATATTTTCAATTATACTATAAATATTACAACTAAATTAACAAAGCACTATTTAAAACAAAAAGGAAATTAAATGTCATAAAAATTTCGCAAATTTTTTTTATAAAAACAATAATTCTAAGAGATAAGTTCAAATATCACATATAATTATGATGTTTAATTGCCAATAAGGCAATTTTAGCAATTCATTTCTTTTCTTTTCATTTTTTTAGGAATCGAAAATTTGAAAATTTACAAATAATATGTTACATAATTCATCATTATGTAAATGACCTGAGATACTGCAATTAATGTTTACGATGAGTTATAATTTACTTACATATCTTTTTCTCTTTTTTTTTTCCATACTTTAAACTTTATTGAAAATAAAATTTAATAATACACCATTTCATTTTTTCATATTTGAACCTTTGTTGAAAATGAAATTTAACAATTATTCATTTTTATTTTGATCCCAAAAATTTTTATTGAGATCAATTTGCATGTTGTTTATTCATTTGTACCAATTGATATGACCTCAATTGTAATTGAGAAGATAGGAGTAAGATGTCACAAAAGAATCTTCAAAATTTGCATAAAATAAGAATACGAGAGAGAATCGTTCAACGGAAATGAACAAAACTGCCTGTTACATTCATCCATTTTATTGGTTAAAACACTATGAAATGCTATTTTTGAGATCAGATGACAATACTATTGAAATTTCAAGGTCTCCACAGTAACTTTGAACAGTAAACAGTTGTCCATTTCAGCTTATCATCAATGCCACACACACACACACACACACACACACACACACACACACACACACACACACACACACACACACACACATGAATACATACCTACACTAATTTAATTAATTTAATATAAAATAGCTATGACAAAAACGATACGATTATTGTATATTAAAATTAAATTAGTTTAATACATACATTTGTTTTATCGAAATAATGAAATTAAACAAAATAATTGCATTATTTAAATTAAATAAATGTAAATGATATTTATATATTACAAAACAATAAAGATAAAATATTGCAATTAATTTCAATCAATTGTTAGTTATATGTGACTACTATGATAATGAAGGTTATCATATATTGAAATTAACATCGTTTTGTATGTAATTGCTATAACAATAAGAATTATCATATACAAAGATTAAATTAGTTCAAATTCAATTACAAGTCATATAAACTATTTATCAAAATTACTAAAAAAAAAAAAAAAAAAAATCACTAATCACTTAAATTATTATTATAAGTTATAAAAACTCTTAGATTTTTATAAAAAAATAATTATTTCACTTTTTTTTTTTGGTATATTTTCATTAAAAAGATAAAATTTCTCGATTTAATTGTAATGCATAATTAGAATTAGAAAAAGATGAAAATAGAATGAATCATTTTTCAGATCAAATGTCATCGAATAAAAAGAACGGAAAAACGAAATGCATATTAATTCCAATCGCTTTTCTATTATTGTCAATAAGTGTTATATTTCGATCTTATCTAAATCAATCATTTTAAACAATAATCGAATTCTTTAGGGAATTGAATGAATGATATAAAGTATATAGTATACCTTCCGGGTCATGTTAATTAAAATGTATAATTAAAATGATGAGAAGATTGACCTTTTGTCATCTTTAGTCATCAGTCTTCTTCATATGAATTATCATTTTCCAATTTTATCACAAATAAAAAATTAAAACATTGATTAGATTTAAAATTTTCAGTGACAAATGCTTCGTTTTTTATTTCGAATTTAAAAATTAAATTTAGGGGAAAAATTTAAGATTTAAAATTTTTCCCATTTTGATGAATAAAAATGAGACA